TATGCACATATTAATTATGTACGTTTCTCAACTCTGTCATGTCAAAGCCCCTTTTTGTGGGAGAAAGTAAAGATGCTTCTCAGGTAGGGTTATTCCTTCAAAAATGTCATCCTTTGGCCGCCTGTCATTTTGACACAAAAGCTATTTAAGTAAAAAAAAAATTGCAGGGATTATTTTTATAATGGTGAGATGAAATATATTATCATTCCCTTTTTACTTACTCTCCTGAAACATATTTACTCAGACTTAAAAAAAAAATCAATTTAGTGCTGAGTTTAAGCCTGGAGAAATTGATCTTGAAAGTTGAAAGCTTCAGAAAGTTGAGAGTGTCAGTGGAGAGTGGGTTAAAATGAAAGTTAAACTGCAGCTACTGCCTAACATAGTTTCTACTTTTGTGGCCCTCATCATCTTATCTGACTTCTGTGGCCCCTGGGACAAATATGCTTCTTTCCCAGTCGCTTTGCTAGAAAAGTAGATTTAGGGGTTTTTTATTATCATTATAATGCATATAGTTGCAGGAGAGAGGTCGTGGTGTATTTCTGCTTCTGTCCAAAATCCAGCATAGGCAGCTGGTCTTACCTCCTTATTGGAGGGGACAAGGCTGTCTTGAGACATAATGGGCAAAAGAGAAGGAGTGTTGGCAGAGTGAGTGGAAACGTGACTATTAAGTGTTTTTTGGGGTCTGGAATATATTAATTCAATACGTTGAGCTATATGTTTGTGTATTTCAGACTTTCACACTTAAGGCCTGCACGAGTAGCCTTGTAGATTTTAATTGAAAAGGCTAGATTAATATGTGCTTTATTCCTCTGCTTTGACTTTGAACAGCTCTGACAGTCAAAGTATTTCCTGCCCTGAGTAAGATTTCTTATTTGACATCTATGTTGACTTGTGCTTTGTTAGGGAAAACTTTTGATGACTTAAAAAATAATGTGAAAATTTGACCTAGCTCTGGAGTAAATTAGACTTTTTCTTCCTTTAGTACTGTACTAGTGTTTGCTTGAATTTCTCATTTTTATTGAGGCTTTTCATATCCCTCTGGAATATATAAAAATGCATGGCAGATAGTATACTTAATCTACCTTGGAAAACTCAATTTTGTTTAGCTTTTAGTTGGTATGTTCACTAAAATACTTAATGTTTTTTTAAAGGTTGAAAATGTGTTTTAGTTGGCATGAATACGTGGAAGACTGTGAGTGTACTTGAAAGTCAGGAAATTCTTTAAGTTCTGATGTCACTTTAATTCCACTTCTTTGCAGTCATCTATTCTCTGCTTACTTGGGGGAAACATGCATAAGTTTCTACACAGATGAAGCAAGTCTACCTGTTGCATATACAAATTACAGGAATATTCTCCTGCACCATGTAATAGGGAAAACTTTTACTTTTCTACCTTTTTGGGTGTGGCTTATATACAAAGGAGTTTGGTTTGCTCTTTTTTCATAATGCTTAGGGTCGGAAGGGACCTAAATAGATCATCAGGTCCGACCCCCAATGTGTAAGGATGTGTAGGTTGTTACAGTGGCTAAGTACAGACAGTCAAAAAGCCCAAGGCTGAATCGATTCGATTTTCACAGGTTAGTCTAAGGTGCATAGATTGAACCAATAAGCAAGCGAACAGATGTTCACTTTTGAGTCTGGAAATGCAGCCGCATGCCTGTAGTGAGCTTTAGTTAAATACCCCGCCACCATTTTGAAATGTGGGATACTGAATACATGACACGCTGTGGGCATTTTAATGATACCAGCTGCCAGGATCTGCTCTAATGCTCCCTCCCCACCAAACCTCGAGCATGTATATAGGTGCCCTTTCTTGCCCATTTCCAATTATTCCTGTTTCTTCACCAGCCTTTAGTATTTTGTGAACATCACCAACCTTGGCTCAAAACAGTTCACTCAGATTCTCAGTCTGTCATACTTGATTAGTATGGTCCTGCCCTCCATGAGGTAGAGCTGGACCAGTTTGCTGTGTCCCTCACCTTCATATGAATTTTTGGAGGATCCCAGGACTCATGACAAGAACAAGTCCTGAATGATTGGAAAATGGCAAATATAGTGCCCATAAAAAAGGAGGATCCAGGGAATTATATATCAGTCAGCTTCACTTCTGTCCCCAGAAAAATCATGGAGAAGATCCTCAAGGAATCCATTTCTAAGCACTTGGCAGAGAAAGAGGTGCTTAGGATATGGATTCACCAGGGGAAAGTCATGCCTGACCAACCTGATTGCTTTATATGACAAAGTGACTGGCTCTGTGGATGTGGGTGTGGTCAAGGCAATAGATGGATGTCTCCATAACCCACAGAAGGGAGTCTCCAACTGCAACCACCCATCACTTATTATTGGTGGCAATGGTCTTGATCCTTCCAACTTTGGGGATGCCTGGCTTGGCTTTCTCCACCAACAGAGATGTTCTTCCTCCTCTGTTGCTGGGGCTCCATATCTGTTCTCCAGGCAAACTACTGAAGGTGGCGTTGAAGATTTCTGTTTGTTGCCAGAAGTCATAAGCTTCCAGCTTCCACCTTCTTGGGAGTCCATGTGATCTTCTTTCTCTAGTGCCATCTTTGGCAATTTTTCCTCCACAGTCCTAGAGGTCTCCTCCAGCACTGAATTTATGAAGTTTTCATGGCAGAGGATGCTTCAGAGCCTTGCCGCCTCCTCCTGTAGCTCTCTTGCCGGCTTCCTAAAGGACACCACTAGGAGGCACCGCTCACATCACAGGCAGTCTCCCACCTGGCGGTCACTGGGACATATCTGCAATCTGCAGTCTCCCCAGTGTCAAACGAGGACCTGTGTAGAAGCCTCGGTGAGCAGTCCTGCTTGGACAGATACCTTGTAGGTGCGAATAGAGGAAGAGCTGGAAGTGGCAGTGGCTCTGGCATTGTGATGTCCTCCAACCATTTCTTTAGGTCTCTTAATCTGCCACCTCTCTCTCTCTTCCTGCCTCTGTTCCAAGCAGACTTTTCCTAGCAAATTCACTTGCAAGCTGGCCTGTTCACTGCTGCTTGGTCACGAACGGTTCCTTTTTCCCTGCTTCCTCTCAGCAAGCTTACAGTGTAGGAAGGTGAGGGACTTTCCATGTAAACTCCATAGTGACCTCCCCCTCAACGGCAAGAAGGGCTGGGGGGCAGAGGGCAGGTGGGATACCTGATTTCCCCCAACCCAAGATTTATTTTCCCTGTTGTGTAGCAGTGTGGGAGGGTGGACAGGACAAATTCAAGGCAAACCTCCAAGACTTAGATTCTATACCTGTAAAATTGTAACAATATTATAAATTTTCCAGATATAGAATCTAATTATTAGGGGGCTATTTTATATTCAGAGTCATCTTATATTTGAGTAAATACGGTAATTTCTTCATGGTTTCTGAAGTGTTTTGGAAAATTAGATTGTGAAAGGGTGAAAGAATAAATTGGTGTTGGAACTTTAACTTTTTCTATTTCCTGACTTATTAGCATTTAATGTTTCTAAATACATTGTGCTAATTTGTGTTTTAAAGGGAAAAACTCTCATCTTTCTCAAGCTGTTATCTATGAATTTCTGCAAGCCTTTTAACCTTAGAATGAATCATTAAATGGAAAAGTAACTGTCAAGCTATGCAAAACACCTTTGACACCTCAGACTGGTATTATTTGAAACTTTTATTAAACTTTTTCTTATACAGTGTGACATTTAGAAAACTTAAAAACCACTCTGGTCGCATGAGTGGCATGAAGCCATACAACTGACAGTTTTTTTCCATAAATCCAGATGGATGTTGTGTCATGAAAACTCATCAACAAACTTCTTAATTAGGACATGTTTATTTTCAATTGTACAGGTTGTCATTGAGGGCTACTGCATGCAGAAACTTTGCAGACAGTAAAACAATCCATTTTGTTGGGGTTTCTGCTGCACTACCATGTCCTGGGATGCACAGATCAGTTTTAAGACTGTGTCATGAGTAAAAAAACCACAAAAAAACCTGTTCATAATGCTGCAATCAGGAATTTTCTTTGCAAAATACAACAAAGAAATTAAGCACTCAAAAATGTGTTGACTCTCCCAGCCCCCCAGATGTGCATATGAGGACTTTAAGAGGCTAAATCAGTCTTGTTACCATGTGTACCAGAGCAGAAATATTTTAAGGTTGGGATTTTCAAAGCAGCCTAAGGGAATTAAGCATCTCTGTTCCCTTGCATTTCAATGGGATTTTAACACCTGTTTCTCTAAGGCTTGTTTGAAAATCCCAGCTAAATGACTGTGACATTAAATCTATATCTGTATGCCATTTATGCAGTGAATCCTTAATGTTGATGTGGTAAAACACTTAAATGTCCTTACTTTTATTTTAATTTCTTACCTCTCTTACCATATGTAAACAGTTTCAGCTGTTTGCAATTAACAGAAGAGGTTGAATAGTAAAGGTCCTATGTGGGTTGTATGCCATGGGAAGGTAGGAGCGTGCAGTGAGCTTTCTACCCTTTCCCAGGATCCTACATCAGGTCCTGGCACAATGTAGGTTTTTGTGCTCTGCTCCTTGATAGTCATAGGTGTGCATAGTGGAGGCAGAGAGAAAGTAGAGCTTATTTGGACCAGTGACTAAATGCTCCAGCTTGGCCCAAAGCATACACAGCTGGATAAGCAGGGTGCTTGTGAGCATGGAGAGGATCTGTCAGGGTGTTGTCACTTATCCCTGCCATACAGAATGCTCCTTGTAGATACAGATGAAGAAGTGCTTGCTTCCTCTCCCTTTCAGAGGCTTACATAAAGGCTTTTATAGTCTAGCACTCCGTGTTTCTTTTCTCCAGTTAAACATATTTAAGTTCCCATGTAGATGCAATGTAGCTTTTGTTTTGTTCCTTGTGATCTTTATCTGCTGATTCTATAGAGAGGGCTTGCAACTTGTTTTTTCAGTTGCTAAGTTTATAAGTCCAGATTTTTGATAATACTGTGACCCTCAACATGGTGAGAGTTTGTCTTAACCTCAACGTCTTCTATTCTCTTTTTACCTTTTCTAGGACTTCCCAGGTTCATCAGTCAGCCAGAATCGACATCTGTCTATAGAGGAAACAGTGCAATTCTTAACTGTGAAGTTAATGCTGATCTAGTACCATTTGTGAGGTGGGAGCAGGCCCGTCAGCCACTTTTTCTGGATGACCGCGTGTTTAAACTACCAAGTGGAGCTCTAATCATTAGCAATGCAACGGATGGGGATGAAGGACTGTATCGTTGCATCATTGAAAGTGGTGGGTCCCCCAAGTACAGTGATGAGGCAGAGCTTAAAATTCTTCCAGGTATTAATTTATCTATTCTCTTTTATTGATTTTTTTTTTTTTTTTTCCGCTCCTTGGTTTTCCATTGAAAATATGATTAAGAAAATACTTGTGTATTATCCCCTTGTGTTAGTAATGAGAAGAAAGGAAACCTGAATAGTATTACTTACCAGATCGAGTGGAAGGAATAGCTGCACACAGCCCCCTGCTACAAGTGAGTGTAGAGTGAAAGGGCAGACAGAGATGATTGGATCAGTTAATCTGATCTCTTGTATATCATAAACCATTACATGTCACCCAAATTGTCCATGTTAAGCCTAAAGACTTCAGTTAGTCAAAAACTTTTTTGTCTTTTGGGGCACCTGTACACAAGCAGTGAGGCTGCTCCGACACGCTGTAATTAGAGCGCTTTAGAGCAGGCTCAATTAATTGAGTCTGCTGGAGCATGGTAATTATCGTGCTTCAGCAGACTCCGGTGTCTCTTGTATCAGTGTGCTGGCACTTAAAAATGGCAGTGGAGGCACATTTACTAAAGCTCGTTTGACAAGCCTTAGTCAAAGTGCTCCTGCCGCCATTTTTAAGCTCCAGGACACTGATACACAAGATAGTTTGGGTGCTTTAATTAGAGCATGTGTATAAATGGTGGCCATGTGGTAGAGTTTGTGCCTGCTGTGTGGGAGATCTGAGTTCAAATCCTGGCTGGTGTGAGTGAAGTAACAAGGAGAAATTCTTGTTGCCCTGGAAAGGGGTCATTGTGTTTAGAGCCTGGAATAGGCTTCACAGAGAGGTGGTGCTCTCACCTTCCCTGGAAATCTTCAAGAGGAGACTGGATAGGCACCTGGCTGGGGTCTTATGACCCCTGCCACC